CGTGTGCTCTTCCGATCTCCCCAAAACCCCAAAACCCCTCGAATTGCTAATTTGATTAGAGGAGGGATTCGTATATTTTGAAATGAATAGCTTTGAGCCTCAGACATAATTAATACTAATTATATAATAAGCTAAACCATAAGTTTAATTATAAATAAATCACTTCGTAATCATTAGATGGATAAGAAGTTTTTGACTAGAGGATCTGCTCTACTTAGCAATACTTTTAGAACAACATCAGCTACTTTATAAATGCAGCCCAAGAAATCCCTAATAATGGTCCAAAAGAGAGATTTCTTTACAATGAAGAATAAGTTGTCATAGGAAACATCTCAGATGATCTTTATGGAGAGGTAAATGAATAAGATCCTAGGCTCAACAGGTCTCAGATTCAAGTCGACTATGACTGAAGTAGCTGCTGCTCCAGCTGAATAGCAACTTATTGAATAGCCAGAATACAAGTCCTCCGACATCTTAAATAACAGCGATCCAAAGAAAATTAGAAACTTAGCTATTATTGCTCACGTCGATCATGGAAAGACTACACTAGTAGATTGCTTATTAAAGCAAACAGGAGTCACGTTTTCAGATGAAAGAGCTATGGATTCAAATGACATTGAAAAGGAAAGAGGTATCACTATTCTGTCTAAGTGTACTTCTGTCGTGCACAAGGACTATAAATTAAACATAGTCGATACACCAGGGCATTAGGACTTCGGAGGAGAAGTCGAACGTATTATGTCTATGGTAGATGGAGTGTGTCTAGTAGTCTGCGCTACTGAAGGACCTATGCCTCAGACAAAGTTCGTATTAAAGAAAGCCCTGAGTCACAATCTCAGGCCTATCGTAGTTATTAACAAAGTTGATAGAGACTCAGCGAGAGTGCAAGAAGTTGAAAACGAAATATTCGATTTATTCTGTTAACTTGAAGCTAGTGATGAGCAATTAGACTATCCAGTAATCTATGCTTCAGCTAGAAGTGGATGGGCTATAGATGAGATAAGTAAACCAAGAGAAAATGTGCAGGATCTCTATGAAACTATTGTTAGACACATCCCCCATCCAAAGGTCGATAATCAAGGAGAATTGAAGATGCTCATTACCTAGACTGAGAGTAACAAGTATTTCGGTAAAATGCTTATTGGCAGAATCCACTAGGGACAGATAACTATTGGAGATAAGGTTTCAGCAGTAGATTCTACTGGTAAAGTTGTAGAAATGAGCAAGATCATTAAGATTATTAAGAAGTTCGGTATGAATCAAGTAGAGCTCAATACTGCATTTGCCGGGGATATTGTTTCAATTGCTGGCTTTATGAATGGAACAGTCAATCATACTATAAACACTGCAGGAAAGTAGCATGTTATTCCTTCAATTCCAATTGATCCCCCAATGATCTCTCTTTCGGTAACATACAATGATTCCCCACTCAAGGGAACAGAGGGAGACAAATGTACCATTAATTAGATTCGTGAGAGAATTCTCAGGGAAGCAGAAGATGATGTTTCACTTAGAGTAAATATTGCCTAAGTAGGAGGTGAGAAAGTAGAGATGGCTGGAAGAGGTGATCTTCATTTGGGTGTGCTCATTGAAAAGATGAGAAGAGAAGGTTTTGAATTAGCTGTGACTCCACCTCAGGTCGTTATGCAGCCTCATCCAACTGACCCAAAGAAGCAACTTGAACCTTATGAAGAGGTTCACATTGATACCGGTCTAGATTACGTATCTTTGATCATAGATAAACTTAATGGAAGAAAAGGTATTTTACTAAGTGCAGACGACCAACCAGACGGAAGATAACTGCTTAAGTTCAAAGTACCATCAAGAGGTCTTCTCGGTTTCAGAACTGAATTGACTAATGACACCAGAGGAACCGCTTTGTTTAGATCCTAATTTTTGGAATATGACGAGCATGCAGGAGCCGTGAGGAAGAACCCTAAGGGAGCAATTATTTCAATGGCAAGCGGTGTTACTACTGCTTACGCCTTGAGAGATATAGAAGAGAAGGGAACTCTGTTTGTTGGAATAAACACCCCTGTTTACCCAGGTATGGTCATTGGAGAGTATGTACTCGAAGATTCAGATATGGAAATGAACCCAACTAAGTCAAAGAAATTAACAAATATCAGAACAGTAGGTCACGAAGAATAGATTAAACTTCAACCCCCAAGATTATTTAACTTAGAAGAAGCAGTCTCATATATCCGTGATGATGAGTTAGTAGAAGTCACCCCTAAGTGGATCAGAATCAGAAAGAGAATTCTAGACTCTAATGAAAGAAAGAAGTTCAAGAGAGATGCTAAGAAGATGAACTGAGATTGTCGAGATTCTGCTGAAATAATATATATTTAATTCATTATATCCTAATAATTCTCATTTCTAACACTCCCTTTCAGTATAGCATTCTGGGGTTTTGGGGTTTTGGGGTTTTGGGG